AGGGCTGTGTTGTTGTTTGTAAGTTGTCGTCATAGTTTTTTTTACTTGTTTAGTTTAAATTGAAATGTAAGAGTTTGTTCTTCCCTATTTTGTTCATCCCTCTTTTCTCGTCTTTTCTCAATTTCGTCGATAGAAGTCCGTCGTCTTTTTTGTGGGCGAAGGGTATAGGCTCCCTATATCCTCTTGCCCGCATCAGAATTTAAAGGAAGGTTGCTTCTGACCTAATATGATTATAAACAAAGTTATAATAATGTTAATCAATGAAATTAACTATTAACCCTAAATATCTATGCCATTATTACATATGTAGTGAAATTATTTGTTTAATGACATCTCTCTGGGAAGGTCTCATCAAATATGTCAGTCTCCTGCATCAGAATTTAAAGGAAGGTTGCTTCTGACCTAATATGATTATAAACAAAGTTATAATAATGTTAATCAATGAAATTAACTATTAACCCTAAATATCTATGCCATTATTACATATGTAGTGAAATTATTTGTTTAATGACATCTCTCTGGGAAGGTCTCATCAAATATGTCAGTCTCCTATACTAGCTTGAATCAGGCTCATTTTTATGCCTTTTTAGGCTAATTTCTACTTATGACGGAATCTCTCTTATTTTTTATTTGCATTTATTTCTTTAAGATTTTATTTTTCTTTTTGGATAGGAATATATTTAAATTTGAATGTTTTTTTTTAATTTACTTTATTCTTTTTTCTTATAACCTTATTTCTATATTTAGGGAACCTTGATGTGTAATTAATTGACTGATTGATGATAAATGAAATTTGATTATTTATAAGATCAATAGAGTGCTTCTAAGATCTAATTTATGTACTCAGATTATTTACTTGGAATCATGACAACATTTGTTAATTTCCTTACCACACTTCAATAAATTTATACAAGTTTTGGATATAACCTTGTTTCAAATGAACACTCTTGATGAAAGAATATACACCATCCCTAAATATGCAAGAGTCACTTGCTTGACAGATTGTTTGACTTATGGCTTTAATTTATTCTTATTCCAGCAAATAATACTTCACATGCCCCCGATTTAAAAGATTTGGGTTGAGTTGAGTTATTTTGGTTAAGCTGAACATGACCCGAATAATAATTGGATCCGTAATGCATACTCGAATATGGCCTGAATAGTAATCGGGTTAATTCAAAGCTGAATTTTTTTAGTTGGGTCATTTATGAACATCCCCAAAGTTGATTGGTATTTCTTCCAATGTTGTCTCTTGATTATTTAGAATTGTAAGGGTCTTAGCCATCTCAATTCACTCACTCCTTAGTTTTAGATCTATAACCATTCTCTTATGCCAAAATAATTCAGAAATCTGTTTGTATAGTATTCGTGTTTAAGGCTCTAAGTCATTTCAAGTGATTGGGAGAATATCCTTGGGTGTCGTGGAATGTAAGGGTGTGTCCCTTTCCAAAATATTTGGGGTTATGGGATTTATGCTTGCCAGCCTAGCTATCAAAGGCAATAAGATATTCGCAAAGATTCTTATATTCTTTTAGGTATCCTATTAAGTGGTTCTATTAACAATTGGAAAAGAAAGCCTTAGACAATGGAGCTTAGGATTGACACAACTAGGGAAAATGATAACTAAGAGACCAAAGATTTCTCCTTAAGCGTTGTAGGCGAATCCGTGGTTGACCTCAGGGTCAGCCATGCACTAACGGTAGAGGGGAGGAGGGAGTTCATCTTCTCTTCTTGCTTTAAAACTCATGGAAATTTGAGGTGTCCAAGAGAGATGGAAAGGGATGTAGAGAGGAGGAGAGAGTTTGTAAAGGGATTTAAAAGCTTCCAAAATAAGTCATGTAATTTAGGAAGGGGAATAATAAATCAAATCTAATTTAATTTTAAATTTGACTTAGATTTATGCACTTTCCTAAATTAGGAATTGTAAATAAGGAAAGTATTTGAAATTCAAATTTGAATTTCAAATAATAATAATTCCTTTCCTTCCTTGCTTGAATTAATTTAGGAAAGCAAAAATGATGATTGAAATCATCAGTATGGAGGTGGCTATGGGGGTGGGCCGGCGGCAATGGGGAAGGGGAGAGGTTGGCTTCGTGTAGGAGAATGGAAGGGGATTTTGAGCCGGCGGGTGGAGAGGGTTTGGAGGTGATGTTGGGGTGAGGTTGGGGGTGTTGGGGTGGGCCGATGGGCGGGAGAAGAAGGGGTCGGGTGGTGTGGAAAAAGGGGAAGAGAAGAAGTTTGGGAAAAAATCAAGAGCGCACCCGCAGGGGCTGTTGTGTACTTTGTTTGAGCCTCTCCTAGGCTTCTCCTCTCTCGAGTGCACACACAAGAAGAAGAAGACAAATATGAAATTTTCATTTAATCATTCATTAAGCTCTTACAAAGCACAAGACTGCTATATATAGGTCTCAATCACAAAGAAAAGAAAAAGGACTCAAATGCCCTTGGGGCTATAATAAGAACTCACTACCCATAGGGGTAAACTATGAAAACTGAAATACAAAAATAAATAAAACATAAAATAAATCAGAAGTAAAGATTTTGAATTGTAACCGTCGATCTACGATTCCTTCGCTGGTACACATGTTAGCTATGTTGCACCGATACGGATACGGCGACACGGATACGAAACGATACGGATACGGGACACGTCAATTCTTAAAAATATAGGATACGGGTACGGCGCGGACACGACATTATAATTTATAAATCATACATAAAAATTAAGAAAACAATCATAACATAATATTTGAAATTACAAAAAAAAAACATCATTTGTAGCCTTATAGCTTATAAAATCAAAATATAAGAAAGCATTAAATGTCTAGTACAACAAAAAAAGCATAAACATAAATTATCTAGCACATGAAATTTAAACTATTTAATAAAAGGAATGATATGATTAGCTTCTTCATTGGTTTGTCTTTGAACTTTTATATCATCTTCAATAAATATCATAGCTTCTAATTCAGGCTCATGAAGTGAAAGATTAGTAATTTCTAATATTCTCATATCATCAAGAGACTCAAATCCATCTCGGAAATGAGAGAACCTTGTTCGCAGCCCCGGAAGTAAATACAATGCGTCTTTTTTTGGATTTTTTTTTTGTTTTTTCAACGGACGCGCGTATCGGATACGCGTGTCCTTTTGAAATTAAATAGTATTTTAATTGGATACGGCTTTGGTGTATCCGACACGTATCGGTGGCGTATTGGAGGTGTATCCGTGTATCGGTGTATCGGATACAGCACGCCTTCATAAATAGGTGTATCGGTGCAACATAGCATGTCAGAATCTTTGAGTGATGTCCTCATCAGATTCAGTTCATTTGTAGCCCTAGTCCTCAAGCCGCAGAAGTTAGAAAAATGATAAAGCCACAAGAAGAGCTGAAGATGCTATATCTCGGATGTATTAATTTATTTTTATTTCATGTACTTAATTATGTTTAAGGAAAAAGTTCTTTGGAAGCATTCATTTTATTTTCCTACTTCGTCAGCTAAGTTTAATATTTTCAGGATTATTCGTCTCTGTTCATCTGATTTGGTTCTAAACAATAGACTGTTGAATTATGGCTGTTTGCATAGTTCTTTTTTTGACACATAAAATATTTACAATTTTTTTTTAAGTGTTCACATCACATTTTTCTTGTAATCCAGGATCAAGCATACCAACACTCATCTAAAAAATCTGGTAAGGGGCAAATGAAATGGAGCCAATGCCCATCTCCTATAAAAGTTCATTCATCCCAAACACATTTAAACTCTGAAGAACTTTGGTCTTCTATTCAGGAATTTGCAAGATTTAAATATCAGGTATCATATATCTTGATTTTATTTGAAGAGATTGTATAAAAAAACGTTTACTTTTGACTCAGGTATTTTTCATTTACTGCAGTTTGAATTGCCAGATGATGCAAAGTTACGTGTTAGAAAGATCTCGGTTATCCGAAATTTGTGCCAAAAGGTATTAGAATTGTTGAGAGCAAATATTTTCATTATGATCATGTTTAATTGATTTTACTTTTCTTTCCAATTGAAGATCCACGTGTATCTTGTTTTTTCTTTCATAAAACTTTCAATAAAAAAGTTTTCGTATGTTTTATTCCTTATTTTATTATCGTTTGTTTTCTAAAATTGTTGAAATCAGATTTCAGCCAAGGCTTTTCCTAAATTTCTGCAAGCACTTCCTATCACTGTTCTCATATGAATGAAGACGGCCATGGTCTCAATGGTTAAGCTGCACTTATTATCACTTGAGATCTCATTTGAATCATGGCACCATCCTCTTGCTAAATCTAAGATTTTGGCTGCACATATTTTTGATCACCCACACATCTCACAATTGGTCGAGCCTTGTGCACTGATTATGCCTCGCTGCAATTATTTTTTTGTGAAGCTCTATAATCGATACAGTAGTTGAGGCAATTTAAGGTTCATGTTTTGAGTTGAGCTTACTAAATGAAAATGGATTGAATGATTGGAATATTAGGCGTGATAGCCTAAAATTTCATTGTCATTTAAAAACCATTTCTCAATTGACGCTTCTTTCATAAATACATTATTTTTTACATTATGCTATTATAACAGGTAGGAATATCAATTGCAGCACGAAAATATGATCTCGAAGCTGGCTCACCCTTTCAGACTCTAGATATCCTTAATCTCCTACCAGTTGTCAAGCATTCTGTTCCATTGTGTTTAGAGGCTAAGAATCTAATAGAAGCAGGAAAAGCTAGATTGTCTGAGGTAAAAATGATAAACTTACTGTCATTTTAAAATATTTTTCTGAAGAAGGATTACTTTATTTTTTGATGTTACCTGATATTCTTGTTCTTTAGGGAACACTAAATGAGGCCTATACCTTTTTTTCTGAAGCATTTTCAGTACTTCAACAGGTAATATAGTTTGTTTATTCCATTTCCTTTTGTGTCTTTATATATTTGGGAAAATGATAAAAAAATTCCCTTGACTCTTTATAAAGGACTAAAATGGTCTCAAGCTATATGAAAGGATCATCTTGGTCCTTTAAGTCCTTAAAGAGGAAAAGTCCTATGGTGGGATTATTTTGGTTCCACTTTAAGGAGTTGAGCCACTAAAATAATCTTTTAATATAGTTGGGAATTATTTTGATCTTTTATAATAAGTCAATGAACCATTTTGGTCATTTTATCCTATCTATTTATACTGAATATTGTTCAATCATTACTTAGGTTACAGGTCCTATGCATAGAGAGGTTGCCAATTGTTGCCGGTAATTATTGTTTTTCTCTTATGTTTTTGCCTGATTCAGAATGACGACTATATATAATTTTAAGTAGAATTGTGATTTATCTTTCAAGCATTTTATTGTTTGATGCCTAACATTCACCACTGCTTCTAAACAATTGCACATGAAAATGCACATTTTGATATGCATGTTCATAAAGAAGTTGAATTGGATTGTTGGAGCAGATGCTTTCATAAAGATTATGTTTGGGATTAAGTTTTGAATCATTCAAATCACATTCACTTTTCATTTTCATTTCTTCTGTACGTTGTTAATCTCTAAGCCCTTGTTGCAAGAAATTGCTTACTGTAATTGAGCTCTCCTATGTTTACATGCTATATATTTCTCTATTTCAGGTATCTTGCAATGGTTCTATATCATGCAGGTGACATGAAAGGAGCAATCACCCAGCAACACAAGGAGCTGATTATAAATGAACGGTGTCTGGGTCTTGATCACCCTGACACTGCTCACAGGTATCTTGCCATTCTCAGTAGGCCTTTTTTTCATGACAACTCTTGAACTATGCATGTTACTTCTCTGGTACCTGGATATTTTGTTTGATATATTACTTTGGTTTGGTTTATAAGATTTTTTTGTTTGAAAAATGTAGTAGGTATTATATAGATTCACATTTAAAAGTTTCAAAAGATATATGCTGGAGTTTTTTTACAATGAGATAGTTTGTTGTAGCATGTGTTTGTGATGGGGACATCAGATTAGCATGGAAAGTTTATCAGAGACGTGGCCGCCGATCTACGGCCACGATCGAGTCTTTATATTTCTGAGTCATTGGTGTATTTTATTATTCATGCATTTTGTTATTTGCTTAGGTGTGTTTTATTATTTCCCGTTGTACCCCTCTTATGAGAGTTGTTGTATGTAAGCCCAAAGGGCATTTGTGTTTTTTTTTTGAGTCATTTTTATGAGGCTATTTAAAGCCCCACTTTGTTCTATTTTGGTTAATTAATGATTGATTATGATATTTTCTTCTTGAATGAGTTTGTGAGAACTTGTGAGTTCTAATGGAGAGAGATCCCTAGGAGAGGGAGATTTGCGCACCACCCACCAATCTTGGAGACGGCCGGGTTCATGGTCTTCGTATTAACCTTATCCTCCTCATTTTCCCCCATTGCCGGCCAACTTCCCTCCCCACCCCGAAATCCCCTTACTCTCATCAAGCTCACGGCAAGACACCCCACCCGAACCCTTCTTCCTCCCCTCCTCAGCAACCCCACGGCCATTTTCCCACCCAACCCCCATAGAGCCGCCAGCCACCACTTCAAAACCCGCCGGCCACCTCCACTTCATCCACCCCTAGAAGTTTCCTAATTTATGTTTGACAAAATTGGGAAGAAATTGAAATTCAAATTCAATTGATTTGAAATTAAAAAAAAAAACTTTCCTAATTCGTTAATACTATTTTAGGAAACTTCTTGAATACACGCCAATTTAAATTTTGAATGAGAAAGGATTTAATCAAAACTTTCCTATCTCATGAATTTAAATTAGGAAGATCCATTAACTCCCCAAATTCCCTCCCCTCTCCCCTTGGATGCCGCCGGCCCAACCTTGTCCTATTGGCTTGATTTATTAATTACTTCCTAATCTCCCTTCTTGGCTTTAGGAAATAATTTTAAATCTCCCCAATCCCACTTAGCCGAAATTCCCTCTCTCATTTTTCTGAAATTAATTTCCTAATCTAGGAAATTTAATTTGGGAAATCAAAGCCCCATCTCTCATCTACCCGCCGCCCCGCGCCCCCCCGTCTTGGCCGCCTCTCCAACCTCTCCTGGCCCGTATACTGATTTCACTCTTCAACTCTCTTCTCAAACTCCTTGGACCTTGAGTATTCTTCCGTCTAAGACTGCAGCCATAAAGTTTCCTACAGCCAGTACTGTTCTTCCAGTGACCTGAAGCTTCCAAGTTGCTGTTTTACCAAAGCAAACTGCTGTCCAGCAATTCCTGCTGGACTAGTTTCGCTACAGCACCATTAAAGGACCTCTCCTCGTCATACAATCCTGTCCAAAGTCAAAACAGAGAATTCACGTATGAATGGCGGATCCGGACACTGATTACGGCATAACTTGGGACGAAGACGGCTACGTGGACATCCTACAATCTACCTTCTTCGACGTGAACCCAAGAGTTGATTTCACCGTTGAAGATTATTTAGAGTGTACATTGATATACTTGGTTGAGGCTATCGACGAACATTTTGAAGGCATCGAGTGGAGGATCTCCACCTCTCCCTAACGAAGGTTTTCTTTTTTCTTTTTCCTTGCATCTTATTCCTTTTAGTCTAAATTCTCGTTGGTTGATTGCAGTCACGACGGACTCTTCCAACTGCTCTTGCTTAAGCTTAGTAATTGTAGGATTTGAGCGCACTTTCAATGCATCCTAATTCTCATTATTAGATTAGGGATTAATTTGAAAACTACTACTACGTGTTGTGTTATTTTTGTTTCTATTTATTTTGGAAGTTTCAAACTCTCAACATGTGATTTAAGCTTAATCGGATAACCACTGATTGTTTTATTTCGTTGTTCGAATTTGCCCGTAATTTTATTCTTGAATTATTCTAATCATAAGTTGTGCAAGTCCAAATGAATTAAGCATTGCATCCGTAGTCTTGCATCAGTTTGTTTATTTACACCTGTTGGTTATAATTCTTTCTTACGAGCTCTTCAAAACTGTGTATGCACCTATGAAAAAGATATGCATATGACCGTTTGACAATTTTATTTTGTGTATTCACTTGAATTAGCTTATATAATAATTGTATTTGCATTCACTTAATTAATATTGTAAATGTTTTTTTAATGGACAAATAAGATAACAGTTTTTCCCACACGATGACTTCTCGGAATTCATCATCAAGGATTTCTAAATCCTAGTAACAATTTCTGATAGGCCAGTTCAGGCTGAGCCGGCCCAAGGGCCGGCTTAGCAATTCTATAGAAGGCGGAAACAGTCCGCCTCCCCTCATCTTTTCAGCCCAATGGGTGGGCCCCACTCGTTCGCTTGAATTCAAATTGAAAAGGAGGCAGCTAGGCCTTGGAGGGAAATTAGATTAGGAAAACTTTTGTATTAAAGTGCATGAGCAGATTAGGAGGGATTTTGTTTTGATTGATTGGAATTAGAGTTTATTGGTGACTTGGGCTCTAGACTCTAGAGATTTGGGAGAGACGATCCTCCTCTCAAATTGAGGATCTCTTGTATCTTTTGCTTTGTGCTTGTTCGCTTTGTTTTCTATAAGATTTGTTATCATTTGATTGTTCTTCCACCATAATTACTCTGTTTTTCTCGCTATTTTACTGATTATTATTAGGTTGCTTGCGAACTCAAGTAAATCCGATAGGATTACTTGCGAACTCAAGTATTTCCTATCAATTTCATATCCCATATTCATCTTGTTCACGTTTCATACCCCTGATATATTATTCAATTCACCATGTCACTAACCATTTGTACTAATCTGTTAAATTTCAGCTATGGAAATATGGCTTTATTTTACCATGGTCTTAATCAGACTCAGCTGGCTCTGAGACATATGTCCCGAACACTGCTCCTCCTAGGCATCTCTGCAGGGCCTGACCATCCAGATGTTGCCGCAACGTTTATAAATGTTGCCATGATGTACCAAGATCTTGGGAAGATGGATACCGCTCTTCGGTACCTACAAGAAGCATTGAAAAAGAATGAACGGCTTCTTGGTTCAGATCATATCCAAACCGCAGTTTGTTATCATGCACTTGCCATTGCATTCAACTGCATGGGTGCTTACAAACTTTCTATTCAGGCATGCACCTAACTCACGGTAACGCATTTTACATCACATATTTTTATGTATAAGGTTTCGTTTGGGATGGCTTTCTTGATGCTTTTTTAAGCAACTTTCTAGTATAAAAATTTAAATTTTGTACTAGAAAAGTGATTTAAGAAGCAACAAGAAAGCTGTCCCAAACGAAGCCTAAATCTAATGACATTTGTACGGCTATGCAGCATGAAAAGAAAACTTATGATATACTGGTTAAACAACTTGGGGAGGATGATTCAAGAGCGCGTGATTCTGATAATTGGATAAAGACATTCAAAATGCGTGAGGCACAGGTATTCTTACATGTGGGAGTTTGGTGATTAAATGCAGTTTACGATGTTAGAAGATTCACCTCATACTAGTAATGAGTACTGATGGTATTGAAATAAGTTTCTTTGTTGCCCATTTGCAAAAAAAATGTAAATAGCCAAATTGCTTTGTACATTGGACTTAGTATTTGGCAGGATAAATTATTGGGAAATTTACATATATATCACTTTATAACATCTTATTTATATATCTAACACCTAAAACGTTAATATTACATGCATACCACCCTATATTATTTTAATATCAAATATACCACTTATATTTCTTTCCTACCACTCATATATTTTATTTCTACCACTCATATTTGATATGAAAATAAACTATGGGTGATATTTATGTAATATTAAAATTTTAGGTGTTAAATATGTAAATAGAATAGTATTAAGTGGTATGTATGTAAATCTTCCTAAATTATTACGTGCGGTGTCCGGACTATAATAAAAATGTGACATGTGTTTTTGTACTCAGTGTGTATATTATGTATATAAGTTTGCACACACTATGCACATAATTTTGTAATTTGTATATAATATGTACAATTGTACACACTGTGTACAAGGACACGTGTCATGTTTTTATTGGAATCTGAACATAACCAGACTCCGCACGTAATAATTTCTCATTTGGTAGGGAACGTAATAAAGCACTTTATGGTACTTTGCACCCAAAAAAAATTACACTTTCACTTTACGTATTAGTTAATTATTGTAATATAAGATAATGTTTGGGACAATTTTCTTACTAATTTTTAAAGTAGTTTTTTAGTATAAAAATTTTAGTATTCTAAATTTTTGTATTAAAAAATTATTTTAAAGAGTAGTAAAAAATTGTTTCAAACGAAGCCTTAATGTGCTTGAGCACTTAAAGCAATTTGCTCATAAGTTTTAGTTTGCACATTAGTTCCTAATCTGGTATAAGTAACTGAAAATCTATAGTTATCATTAGAAAAGCAGAAAGAAAATCTTGCGTACTGCGAAATAGACATTATGTTATTACGTACAGGTACTGTAAATTTCTAGATCAGACTACTGTATTTTTTTGATTCCCACTATATATTTTTAGTTGCGATCCACATTTTATTTTTTCAATGGACTACAGAGAGTTTGAAATTTATAGTTTTAAAATACTAGACCGCTTTGCGGATAAATTGGATGAAGGCAAAAAAAGTGTCCACGCTTCTCCCTTATCATAATGTTTAAACAAAAGCCCACAAAACCATGCTCACACCTCTTTTTCCCCCTTCAGGCTAACGCGCAGAAGCAAAAAGGACAGGTAGTGAATTCATCTTCTGCCCAGAAAGCAATTGATATCTTAAAGGTAGTTTCTACTATGACTTCTCTACTGCTACCTTAAATATTTCTGTTATCTACTTCATATACTTTAATGTAATTTCTACAGGCAAATCCCAACCTGATTCAAGCATTCCAGGCCGCCGGTGGAGTAAACACTTCATCCATGGATAGATCCATCAATGCAGCTCTAGTCGGCGAGGGTTTCCCTCGAGCTCGAGGTGTCGACGAACGAGCAGCTCGAGCTGCAGCCGAAGTTCGCAAGAAAGCTGCAGCAAAAGGCCTTCTTGGGCGTCCAAATGGTAGTCCAGTTCAAACAATGCCGTGGAACCAATTCCTCACCATTCTCAACAACTCTGTAGTAGCTTCACCTGCTTCAGAAGCTCAGCCTAATAACGATGCTCCAAGTGCGGATAAATCAAATGGAACCAGTGAAGGCCAGAAGGTGAATCAGGCTCCTGCTGGCTTAGGAACCGGATTGGCTTCCTTGAATTCGAAGAAACAAAAGCAAAAAGCCAAAGCTCAGGCCTGAAAGATCTTCTTACAGAACCATCTGCGTATATATTGACCTGATATCAGCTTTTTAGAAATCAGTACTTCGATTCGTTAATAAGTGGCCACCTGAGTTTTTTTTTTTTTTTTAAATTATTTTTT